CAGGATCAGATAATTATTTACACTGAAGAACAGGAGGAGGATATGTGACCTTAAGTTATTTTTAACCCAAAGCTTACCTAAAGTTTCAGACAGAGTGCAGGAGTTTGCCTGCAGTGTTTGCTTTTTGGAAACAAGGATTGACCCAAACTTGGGTGCCTAGGACCTTGATTTTCTTTCTTGTTTGTTAAAATTCAGGCATCGTGACAGCGCTGAACTCACACATGCAGCTTGTTCCCGCCTCCTCCTGCGTCTCTCTCTGACGGTCACCGCGGGGGGTTCAGGTGCTGTTGTTCTCATCACTCCTCTGTAGTGCTTTCTCTGTCCATCCCTGTGTGTTTCCACCGCCTGTTTAAATTATTCACATCAGGACCATTACTGAGACCAATCCCCACTTTACAACACCCCCCCCCCCCCATCCCCCCTCTCTTCCTCCACTATCCCTGCAAACCCATCAGGATGAGAAAGGTGGTCCGTGAAGATGGGGGCCACATTTCCCGGGTTTTTGAGTGCGTGAGTTCCTCCACACAGAGATGAATCACTCCCAGCTACATTTTTTTTTTGGGGGGGGGGGGGGGGGGGGGGGTGAATTATTGAAAGCCTCCCCGATGGGACAAAGTGCAGCGTTAATACGTGCAGATTTCAGGCTTTCAGGCAGATGACCACGAGTCTTTGATTTAACAAGACTTCAGAGTGAGCTGCTCCTCTGTGTCTGCGTCTTCACTTCTCTGATGTATAATTAGTCATCGCAGGGCTCCAACAACGCTGCCAAATCATTTTCTGGAATAACACTGAGAGAAGTCCTCGGAGCAAAATATCAAAAATAAAACTTTAAGAAGAGATGTAGTGATGGATAACACCATGAATTTTGTCCTTTGTTTCATACTTTTTGGGGGCGTTTTCACACCCGGTTCGGTTACATCAAACGAGTCCATTTACAAAGATAGTGCGGTGTGAAAGCTGTCAATCAAACCCTGGTGTGGATCAAACAACCTCTCTTTCTTTCTCTCTCTTTCTCTCTCTTTCTCTCTCTCTCTCTTTCTTTCTCTCTCTCTTTCTCTCTTTTCTTTCTCTCTCTCTTCTTTCTCTCTTGCTCTATCTTGCTCTCTCTCTCTCTTTCTTTCTCTCTCTTTCTCTCTCTTTCTCTCTCTCTGTCTTTCTTTCTCTCTCTTTCTTTCTCTCTTTCTCTTTCTTGCTTTCTATCTTGCTCTCTCTCTCTCTTTCTATCTTGCTCTCTCTCTCTCTTTCTATCTTGCTCTTTCTCTCTCTTTCTCTCTCTCTCTCTCTGTCTGTTTCTCTCTTTCTCTCTCTCCTTTTCTCTCTCTCTCTTTCTCTCTCTCCCTTTCTCTCTTTCTTTCTTTCTCTCTCTTTCTCTCTCTCTTTTTCTTTCTTTCTCTCTCTCTTTCTTTCTCTCTTTTTCTCTTTCTCGCTTTCTATCTTGCTCTCTCTCTCTCTCTTTCTATCTTGCTCTTTATCTCTCTTTTTCTCTCTTTCTCTCTGTCTGTTTCTCTTTCTCTCTCTCTCTCTTTCTTTCTCTCTCTTTCTCTCTCCCTATCTTTATCTCTCTCTCTCTTTCTCTCTCTTTCTCTCTCTCTCTCTTCTTCTCTCTCTCTCTCCCTTTATCTCTTTCTTTCTTTCTCTCTCTTTCTCTCTCTCTTTTTCTTTCTCTCTCTCTCTTTCTCTCTCTCTTTCTCTCTCTCTCTCTCTCTCTCTCTTTCTTTCTCTCTCTTTCTCTCTCTCTATCTTTATCTCTCTCTCTCTCTCTCTCTCTTTCTCTCTCTCTTTCTCTCTCTCTCTCTCTCTCTCTCTCTCTTATCTCTCTCTCTCTTTCTCTCTCTCTCTCTTTCTTTTTCTTTTCTATGAACTGAGGCCTCCCGCTGACGCTGCTGAGCCAAACATCGAGGCTCCAGCGCGCCACAAAGATGCACGTTTTATCTTTGTCATTTATCTAAATCCCAGAAATCAATTACAGCTCGCTAAGGTGCCAGGGTGAGGGATTTGGGTTTTAATTTTCTCCTGGCATGGAGGCTTACGGATTAAACAGAGGTAGACTGTTCTCTGGCTTCACATGTGGAGAACCGATTGGAAGCTGTTGCACATTTTTGTGTGTTTATATTTCTCCGTGTTACTTTTTCAGTTATGAGCTGCTGTGGTTTAAACGTACAGCAGTTCAGATATGTTTCGTTTCAGGCCGTTGCAGCCGTTTAATCCAGTCCTGATTAACGACTTTCCAAAGCTCCACAAATATAAAAACTGTCCGAAACAGAATGGTTTGTGTGAAACGTCAAAGCTCCATTCCTGAGATGGCTTTTATTTTGAAATTTTGTACTGCAGACTGCATGGAGAAACGGAGGCTATAATTCGATCCAATAACTGTCATCCATCCTCTAATAAAGTTCAGCTAACAATATGAGACAGATGAAGTCACTCGACTGAAATCTAGCCTTTCCGGTTAGTTGCTTGTTAGTAAACAATGACCAACACACAGGAAATGAGGTCACAAGCTGGAATTCCTTTATCGCTGAATAACGGTGTAGAGGTTAGCGCTGTTGCCTCGCAGCAGGAAGGTTCCTGGTTGGACGCAGGGTGCGTACCTCTCTGTGTGGTGCTCGCACGTCCTCCTCCTGCAAGCGTGGGTTCTCTCTCTCTTTGTTGAACGGAGTATTGGTAGTGTACAGTCAAATAGCCTTAAGGAAGGATGATACTGTTTATCCCCCCCTTAAAGCAGCCATCTTTGGGTCAGACCTGCCTCTAAAAATAGCCTTTACCCCCCTCATTTATTTCCTGTCTGTTCCGTAACATTTCTATCAGATTGAGGTTGGCATATTTCTCTGACATCCAATTTCAAAGATAGCATCTGAGTTTCCGAGCGGCCCGTGGCACCTTTAGAGAGAGACTCCAGCTGAGTCTGTGGACGCTAAACAGCAGCGTTCACAGCTGACTCCGGGGGCTTTTTCTATCTGCTGCCGTGATCGTTCAGGTGTCTCAGTCCTTATCCTGTAACCTGTCCCACTTTCCAGCTGTGCTTAAAGGCCTTCAACAGGCCGCTGTTAACACCCAGCTGAGGCCTGGCCGTCCTCTGACATGATGGCGGAGCCCAGTATGGATTTCTGAGACGTGATAAGAGCGACTGTGTGTGAGCTCGCCGTGGCCTCGCTGTAGCTTTGTTATCTCAGCAGAAAAGATAGCAAAAGGAATCCGTTACCAAGTATGTGGAGGGAAAAGAGGGTGTGAAAGCTCAGCCGGGTGGCTCTTAACATTTCTCAATTATATCCCAGCACTAATCATGTTTTATTAGCAGCAGTAACACCATGTCCTTACAGCATGCGGCGCCATCCTGAGGCAACACAGGGCGTTAAAAGAACAGCGAGGAAGTGGCGGCGAGCTGCTTATTTTGCCTTTCTTATTGCTGTAAGCCGAAGTCTCTTTATTGACGGTTTTTATATAAAATATAATATAATCCATCATTCCCATTAGTACAGAATTCAGAAGTCTTTTACCACTACATCTAAAGAAGGGTGTCCAAATTTCCAAAAAATCATCACCTTTACACTTGAACCTATATGTTAAATACTCCATTGGTATGAGGTCAAACATTATTATACTGAAGGTGGAGTATTACCAATCCATTTTAGCAAACGTGAGGATACTGAACAGCCTTCTTCTATAAAAACCCTTTAGCTGAGGACTGGGTAAACCAAGGAGCGAAGTTTGAGGCTCAATATTAAATTGAACATTTAAAATCTAATTTAGTTTACCAGCAATTTTACCCCAGTAGTGGATACATGACCACGTACAACATGCTTTTATTTTGAAAGAATGCAAAATGCATCCTGTTGCATCAGCTCACTCAGCGCTGGCAGGAGAAACTCTTTGCTCCTCCTGAAATGATCAGAAGCGTGAAAGCTCTGTTAAAAACTTCTGATACTTGATGTAAGCAAATATTTAAGAGTGGCTGGGTTCGACCTCTACTTTTGGCGGTCCTGATGATGTTCATGGAGGATGTGACTCAGGGATATTAAACTCAAATCAGAGTGGAAAAGATGGGGGGGGGGGGGGGGGGGGGAGTTGTCATTGTGCATGCCTGGTGGAGCAGAGTGCAGCAGGAAGCTCAAATGCTTTTAGAAGAATAGATTCAGGATTTGAAGTGGAGGTGAACTGTAAAGGACTCTCTGCCATGTCCCCGTCTCACACTGTTTCCTCACACACACACACACACACACACACACACACACACACACACACACACACACACACACACACACTGATGCCTCCCCCTTCCCTCTCCCATTTAGAAACTCTAAACCGTCCTTTCAGCTGCGCGTGTAAGCGGAGGTCACGGTCGAGCTGCCAGCCTGCGAACAGTAGCGGCCAGTATGAGAGCGAGCTGGGATAGTAAACAAGAGAGGGACAGCAATGTGTCAACAGAGCGAGCTCCCAGGGTGCATTTCTGTTTGGCCCTGAGCAGTGTGGTGAAAATGCTCAGCTGAAATGATATAATGACTTTATGCATTCTTCAAGTACCAGGACTTCATGGTGCACAGAAACGCTCAAACGGTGCTCGTACTTATGACCTTTAAAGCTCAAACATGGCGTCCACAGAACCGTCTGTGTTGTGTTGTAAAGCAGGTTGTTCTGTTGGGTTCTGTGTCGCTCTGCAGCCTCTGTGAAACACTCCCTGAGAGTTTTATCCCACGCTGTTGTTTTTGTGACCTTGCAACTATTTCAGTGATCAGCCTGTTATCTTTGAGGTTTTTTTTCTTCTTCTCTTTCATCTTTTATCCGAGGCCACTTTCACTTTTTGTTTTAGGTGAGCAGATAAAAGATGAAAGCGTTTATTCCCAGAGGGTTTCTGTGGAGGTCAGAGCTGAAAAATCACTTCATTAAACCAGAAGAAGAAGAAGAAGAAGGCAGAATCATGTAAAACCTGGAATCCAAAGCTCCTCTGTCACTCTGTTTAACTTTAAACTCACTCTAATGGTGGTCTTCCTCTTTTGCTGCAGGGTCCGGGTGGAGCAGAGGAGGCGCCGTCTCCTGACCCGTCTCAGTCCCAGAACCACAGAGTCCAGCACAGCTTCGTCCAGGAACTTTTCCAAGCACAGTACAAGTGAGTCTCCTCTGCTGACAAAATATCATCACTCTAATAACGAACACAGGTCTCCGTTATCGAGGTCACTTCAGGGTCAAGTCGGACTTTTCAGTTTCAAATGTTGTGTTTTGTAAATTGTATTTTGTCTCTTTGTATTTCCGTCTGTAACTTTGTGTTTTTGCGGCTGCCTGTCTCGGCTTGGTCTCCCTTGAAAAGAGGTTTTTAATCTCAATGGGACCAACCTGGTTAAATAAAGGTTAAATAAATAAATAAAATGTACATGGAGCTGAAGAACTACAACATGATGGAGTTTCATGTGAGTTTGTTTTACTGTGCTGCAGCTCCTAATGATGTCAGAAGGCTGCAGACTTTACTGTATAGCCGCTCTCTCTCTCTCAGATGCTCCTGATGTTTTTTTTTTTAGTGTGTACTCCCTCACATGGAGAAGTGACTGAAATAGAGATGTATCAAATCCTGAACAGAGACGAGTCAACACCTCGCAGCCTGCCTGTTCTTATGTGGTATTTAGGCTTCGTTGATCAGATTAAAGAGTCTTTGCTGCGTACAGCTGAGACTTCCTGAGAGACACAGTAGATCTGCACAGATCCTGTACTGAAATAACCAGAGAGGAGAAAAAGAAGACGGTACCCTTACCTCTGAGTCTCTTAGGGGGCACAGGGCTGGGCAATATATCGAGTTTTTAAGATATATCGATATATTTTCAAACAAGATATAGGGTAAGAGAATATCGTTAATATGGATATAGTTTATGTTGCATTAAAATAACGTTACAGAGGTGCCAGGTCACCTTCTTCTCATCTCACTGATGATGACTGACTGTCTGCTCTTCCTCTCTCTCTCTTTTATTGAATTTAAGAAACATTATTATTTTATAATATTACTTTTTAAAATCACAAACAGGTAGTTTATTTTCCATGTGTTTTCACTGTTAATAAAATACATATTGATATATATCGAGTATCGCCATTCAGCTAATCAGTATCAAGATATGAGCTTTGGTCCATATCGCCCAGCCCTAAGGGGGCATTCACACCTGAGCCGTCTGAAACTCATTTTTACAATGTATCTGACAGCACATGAACGCAGCCCCAACTAGTGACCGGTGGCTACAAAAGATCTGACAGACTTTGTGTGAACAAAAACGGGACCAAATGAAAAATGCACCAACGTTGCAACTTCAGCCCTGAATCTCACCGAGTCCACCAACCACAGCGTCTCAAGGACATCTAAATCTTTTTGTGCTCAGACAATGTAACAAAGGGGTTTTACAGCGTGCCAGTATTGGAATATTCTCACTGCTGTAATACCTGCTGAATTTGTCTGGTGTGTTTCTGATCACAGATATTTTATTCTCTTTGCTAAACTGTCGATTTTGGCTCTGAGTTGACGCCGGATGTGGAGCGCCAAAGAACCAGTCTTTTAGAGCCGCCTGTATTATCACCATTTCTGTGTGATGCAGCTGCATCTCCTCATGACTCCCATCAATCCGTCATCCAGGAAATAAAGAGGCGGTTATTTATTTTTTACATAATAAATGCATCTGTCAGCTGGGGCCCGCTGGGAGACGAGCCTCGCTCAGATGTCGAGTCAATTACTCACAGCTTTTTGTTTGTGATGTTTCATGGACTGCGTGGATCTTTTTTTTTTTTTTTTTGACATGTTCAGGCCCCTTTCTCTTGGTTTGCATCATCCAGTGAGGTGGATTTAAAGTGTTTCACTCTCTCTTTCTCTCTTACCCATATGCCAATCTTTAACCTCAGCTCAGAATAAAAAGAATATTGTGGGGGTGCGTCAGCTAAAAACGAAATCCTGAAAGTGTGTGAAGTCTGAGAGCTGTCCAAAAGAGAGTCAACAGAAAGTCCTCTTCCTCTGCAACATCAGGTGTCTCTTTTCTTAGGACAGGCATTCTGCATATGTACCAGAGTGCCCCGAGACCAAGACCAAGACATTTACTGATCCAGACCGAGTCAAGACCAAGACCAAGACCAAGACCAAGACCAAGACCAAGGCCAAGACAGGGCGAGACCGAGTCAAGACCAAGATCTTCAAATTATAAACTAATTTATGTTAGCCTTTGTTTTCCTTTGCATCAAAGTAATGATGTGGACTTACTGCGCTTGCTGCCATCGGGATCTGACCTCTTATGAGCAGAAGAAAATGAACGGATTGGTACAAAAGAGTTTTTAAGGCGGTTCAGTTTACATTGTTGCGGTCTATTTAAGAATTGTTAGGTTTTTATTTTGAAGTTTTGTCCTGTCTTAAGCTGAGCGTATGTAAGTTGCTGTGTGCTTTTATTTTGAAATAAAATTCTGCATGTGCGTCTCTAGAGGGCGCACCGGAGCGCTCCGGCTGTGTTCAACGCCTTGATGTGCGTGATGTAAACTTCAGTCATG